TCTCTCTCTCTCTCTCTCTCTCTCTCTCTCTCTCTCTCTCTCTCTCTCTCTAACATTATCTCTATCGTTTTCTCCCAATATTCATATGCCTCTTTTTCTTTCCTCGTTCCACTCACCAATTCTCATTTTCTAGAATTCTTGGTCATATTCGTCTTCTTGCCTTGTTTTTCTCTTAGTGTACAGACACGAACAGATAATGGGGACACCTGTGTGCCTTGCTGTGCCATTGTCAATGTGTCCCGCATCTGTCCGTTCCATTGCTTACTGTCTGTCTGTCTCTCTGTCTCTCTGTCTATCTGTCTGTCTGTACGTTCGCCACCTACGACGACTATGCTGGCAATTTCCGTGCAGTTTTGCCTGCTGTTTGTTTATGAAACAAGTCACGTAAATGTCGACGCTCGCTGCGGGGGCGTTGAACTGAGCACACGGTCTAAATGGGCGTGCCGGCACCTTCTGATGTCAGACCTTGTTGCCATTGTTGTTCTTGGTGTTGTTGTTGTTGTTGCTCCTTCTCTTTGCCACTTTTCGGCAAATCGAAAACGTAGCAATTGTCAAGTAGCACGTCACCTGCGAGGCAATTGGCCATGGCAAATGTAACTTACCCCCACTCACACACCCTATCGCTCTCTCTCTCTCTCTCTCTCTCTCTCTCTCTATCTTTCTCTTTGCCTGTCTCTCACTCTTTTTCTAGGCCAAAAAGTTGGCGATCTTTTGGTGCGCCGCACGCTGATTGTTGACATTTGACTGTTTGTTTCTTTGTTCAACTTGTCGCCGCATGCATATTCATAGCGCAAATATTTTTGTTGGCCATCGAGCGCATGTTTACAGCGACGCACGGAAATACACAACAGAAAAAAAGACAACAACAAGAAGGACAACACAAATATTCCAACAGCAGGCAATAAATGCCGCCGGCTAACCGACAATGATGCCCCATTCATGATTTATGCATCGATTTCAAATCACAAACCCCCCAAAAAAAAAAGGTAAACAATTGTGCCCAACTTGCAAATGAATAAAACGAGACCGAGAACTGACTAATGCAAAACTATAGAAAAATAATGGAAATACAAATAAAATTAAGCATAAAACACACATTTCTCTGTGTATTTGTAAACGGGCATCCACATATATATTTCATGATAAATATCGTGGCGCTTCGTTAAAATGACAACCATTTCAATAACCAAATAGTTTTTCATTCGCTCAGCAATAATCTATTTAGAGAGTTGTATTAGCTGATCACATATAGCATTCCATCGAAAGCTTTTAAATATGTGAAAAGTGATTCCACGAATCGGATTTGCTTGACTGTTTTGTATTTTGTGTACCTGAATATTTAATACTATATTTTAAATTTTTTGAATATATTGCAAATATGTGTACATATGTATATATATATAAATATATGAATATATATAAATATATAAATAGTTTTACTTTTTCACATTTAATTCTGATATTTAATATACATACAATGTTGAATTAAAAACATTTTTTTTTTAATTTAATATAATTAAAATATAACTATATATGTATGTATAAAATTCTGTATATTCATTGAATATTTTATTTTAAATATTCAAATAATTGTAAAGCTTTATTATAAACATTAAGCAAATAAAATTATTCCACAGAATTTTCGTTAAATATTTGATTTATTATTCATTTAAGAAATATATTTATGTACTTATGGAAATAATTATATTTATATATTCATTTAGTAAATTTAAAAAATGTTGATGTAGATTTTTAAGGTATAATATATTTAAGAAAAATTTATATATGGATTATAAGTTATATATATATTTATTATATATTTTTTTTATTTTTTATAATTTTTTTTGTATTATGTATGGAAAATTGCATTTGTAATCAAATGCAAATTAAGAATTTATATTGATTACATCATATATATTTTAATATAAGTATAACCCAATTTGCACACCCTTCTCAGCCATATAAAGGGTATTTGCCAGTCGTGCATCTGCTCCTTGTTGCTTTGCTCAATATATATTTTTGCCGACAGACAGCCGATGCCTGGCACTTTTAGTTAAATTGAGCAACAAACACGTTTGGCAATAAAACTGATTCCACTACCGAAGGCAGCCACCCCTTTGGAAAAAACCCTACTCGATTTTCCATTTCCATCTATACACATATATATTTATATACATATATAGCTGGAGCGACCCGAAAATGCCCGCCGCATTGCGCTGGCGGAGTTTTGCACATTCTAACAGATTTATTTCACTCGAAATAGTTTCATTTTAGTTGCATTATTGTTATTGTTACGTTAGTTATTGTTGTTATAGTTGTTGCTCGTGCTGTTTGCCAGAGCAACTGTGGAAAGTTTTTCTATTATTTTCAAATTTAACTTTGCCATTTGTTTGAATTTCGTGTGAGTGAGCAAAAGGAATCAGGGTAACGGCGGCCATCTAAATGGAAGGGCGTACCCAAATGCTCTGCTATCAGTTCAGCCTTCACATGTATGAATTATACTAACGTACTATTTATAGGAATGTAAAACTTTTAAATGCACTCGCATCGATGCGTTCGCAGTGCGTATGTATAATCGAAAACTAGAAAAGGGATTTGGATGTAACAAAAACGAGATAATAAATGCACGAATATATTGCAGAGTGTTGATATTAAAGTAGATACGGAACTCTGAACTTATTTCGAGTCATTTCTATTTTGTGATATTCAGTTATAGATGTTGTTACAGTATAAGGGGATAATCAAAAAACAAATACAAAAATATAAAATGTTCGTCATTTTCTAAAACGAAGTTTCTGGGGAAATTCTAAAATTTATTCAACATAAAAAAAAAAAAAACCTCAATTAAACTCCAATACATTTCAAATTCATTCATTTAGCCTATAATGTATCCTTTATATATTCTTATATTGTATTATTTATTCTTATATTCCTTCACCCTCAACAATTCTTAATAGTTTCATAGTTTTATGTATTCAAACATGAATATGGAATAATCAACCATCCTCAACGAAACAATTTAGCATACAGACATGGGAAAACATAAGAGATGTCTGCTCTAGTTACATCAGAGACCATAGCGATATGGTCATGTTTTTTTGAAAGTAAATTTCATATAGATGTCGCTCTTTGACGCGACTAAATTTTTAATTGAAAGACTATTTTGAGTTTCTCTGAATACAGACATTAAAATAGAAAATAAAATTTTTAAATCAGATATTTCACTATATAGCAAAAATCAACCCTCATTAAATAAATGAAATGTCCCTCAATTATTCACATGCAGTGCCAATGCATAATAAAAAAAAAGTAAATAAATGCACAGAAAAGAAAACTAACAAAATGATTGAAAAATGCAGCATCATATATTTGATAGTAAATATTTAAAAAATAATTTAAGTCCATATTATTGCTCTTTTTGTTACTTTTTAATTTTATTATTTTTTATATTTCTGATAAGCTTTTAATTAAAATGATTATTTAAGCATAATACGCTTTTATGTTAATTCCAGAAATAGTATATCAAAGGCTATTCATTAATAAATCTCTCTCAGATACTTGTGTATGCAATATGAATGAGCATTGCGCTTGTATACATTTTATAAAAAGGGCATTTCGTAGAGAAAAATCTTATAAAAATGTTAAAAAATCTGTTTCCCTATAAATTCCCTGGCGCAACTGCTTTTCATCTCCAGTCTTTAGCCATTTGAAATATTCATGCGCTTAAAGCACTTCAACACGCTGTGCTCAGTCACTGCCTGTTTACAGATTTCAGTCAGTTGAATTTGATAGTACAGCTAAAACATAGCCCCTAAGCCTCAGTGTTGCCTCAGTTGCCTGCTGCTGCTGCTGCTGCATCCATCCACCTGGCCGTGTGGCAGCTGCAGCTGGTTGACACTCGCGTCTCGCTGTTCGCTGCCCAAAACAAACACAGCGCAAAAGGTGGCCAAATTACTGCCGGTTCGTGCTGCTGTTGTTGCTGTTGTTGTTGTCGCTGGTGTCAGTGTTGCCACCTTGTTGTACAGAACATTAAATACAAAAAAAAGAAAGTGAGAAAAGTAGGAGGAAGATAACAACATGGCCGCACAAACAGTTGCAAATGTTGCATTTGCATGCATGGCCAGACGTTCGCCAGTGGCCACGGCTACTCGCCTCGTCGTCCTCGTACAGGTGAGCGTCG